CTAAGTCCTACTCATTTATTCCTTTTCGGTGAATAACATAGACGGGGTCATTGCAAATCAATATCCCATCTCAAATTTTGAAGCGAGGGGCCGTAGAAAGCAGATGTTGCCAAAGACGCCCTCCTCCGCTGGGTATCTAGAAAGGACGACGCGCTCCGTTGATCCCATGAGCAGAATCAGGTCTATCGTTGTGGCCTCCCTATGGAGGCCTCGCCTCCTCTTCAGATGGGGTAGGATCCGCCAATAAGCGAACACTTTAGTAGGCCCGACACCGCCCATACAACCAGAGTATATTCTATTTCTACAGTTTCCCGCTATCTTTTCAGGGATTTTCCACAGCATTAAATTATTTGCAGGTCACTTCTGCACATATGCCGCCCAGCGGCATATAGTACATGGCATGGGAAGAAGTGGAGCGATACAAGTTGTCAGCGAGAAACAGGGTTGCATCAACGTCACCGATAGTTCACAGGTATCTCAATGGCAATTTTACTTATTTCTCTCTATTTTGAAACTTTCGAGTATTTTTGTCGAATTTTCATTGAAACAGCCAAAATCTTCAGCTGCAACTGGGTTGTTCTCGAAAATGGATTCACAACGAATACGAGGAAGTGATGTGTGCTTGTGAAACGGACAACTGTAACAGGGACGATCTGTCCGCATCTGCTGTTCTCTCGTCTGCTACTTATATGACAGCCTTAATCATCGCTATAGTGATTCACTGTGTGTGACAGTTGCCCAAATTATACTCTATACCCGAAGATGAAGGGGCGTGGCCGCGTATCACTTAAGCGTGGCGACGACTGGTGGAGTACTGCCCTTTTAGGACACTTGTAATCATGTCTTTGTCCAACACAGGACACGATCCCAGTTGATTCTAATGGAAATGCCCCATAGGAAACGCATACAACGCCATGTTCAAATGAAGGACGCAGCCACGCCCCGTAAATCTCCCGGATATAGTGCATATTTTCTATTCTCTGCTCAATTTCCACGTGTCTCTCATAGCCCCACTGCTCTATTATGTCCATGTAAATATTACCCGGCATTGTGAACTGGAAGACCAGGGCATTTAGCGTATACACTCGGGGGCAGGAAGACATCGCTACTGCATCTGGTGGGTGAGCTGGTCGTAATAGCGGACTTGGAGGCGTGCGCGAAGGAGAAAAAGTCGTTGCAGGTCTAATTTCTCTCAGAGGCACCTCTTTGTCCTCTCCCATCTTTTCGTCCCGCGCAGCTAGCTGTCTATGAATCACTGCAGCTTGTAGAAACTACTTAAACTTTACTGGGTTACAGCTGTCTCTAAATCCGACAGCTGTACCTGCTTTTTTAATAGAAAGCTTTTTACCCAACTACCACATGCCCAATCTTGACCACCGTTAGAGCAAAATCCTTCAGAGTTTTTCTTTGCAGTAGTCAAAGTGATTTTCAGTCCTCAAAGCATCATAATGGACTTTAGGGCTTTCATGGACCAGTCTGATTCTTTGCCTTATTTGTTGACCTCGATTTACACAGTTTTCTCGTTTTTCCTTATTCATGGCCCCTAGTCTGAAGTGGAATCTCGCTTGAGATTTTTTCTTTTTCTTGGCATATCTCACTTCCACTGGTATTTGTTATGTCATGATTTTCGTTATTGAATAAATATTTTGCTTACAAAGTGGCGAAATAAAGAGGCAAGAAATGTTGCAAATGGGGTCAGGCAACGCATCAAGAGCATTTTATTCCGACAAGCGACCCGATTCAAATCCTGCCCCAAATACGGAAGAGACGTGAACGACTCTATCGCTTTTAGAGAATTTAGCTGCGAATTTCAACCTTCCAACTTTGTTCTAAATTTTTTTAACATCGTCGTTTTCAAGAAATCCTCCCCACTCACTGTGTTATTCGTAGATCTGCGCCACATTTTTTCCGGGATAACTTCCCAAGATTTGAGCATTTGTTTCCAGTTTTCGCCTGCCCAGGTGCACCAAGTAGCTCGCCCATTTTTCTAATGGCTTTAGCAGGCTAGAGTCGTGCTCGTCGCTCAGGGCAAACCAGACAAGGATATTCCATGATTGCCTTCCGAGTAATCGTGGCATTACCCCGGTTTAATTAACCTCCCCGAAAATGATTTCGGTGGCCTTTATTATAGTCTGATGTGTCGCGCAAAAATAACCTGTTCTCAGCCATATTTACACAGATGTAAACCGGACATGCACCGAGAGGTTGAGCATCGTGTCCACTTTCTACGGCCATCGTCTGGAAACCGATCCAAGTTACCGATACAACTGACCCCCAGGGCAGAAGCAGTGGTTGCTTCGCCATCGCGATACGACTAAGTCGGGTAGGAGTAGGGATACTAACTGGCAGCGAGACGAGTCACTAGTCATAAAAGGATTTTGTAGAAAGTAAACCTTTAAATAGTTAGCAATTAACAGAAAACGAGGCAACAAACAAAAATCATTTATTTAAAACGTTGGTCAAAATTATTATATGGACAGATCCGTATAAAGCAAGCTCCCGTGGAAAATATCGCAATCAGTATGGCTGAACTAAGGTGAAGGGTCAAAGAGAAAGAATCATTCATCAGGGTCTGAGGAAAGAGAACCAAGAAAATGGAGGCGATATTGGTCATGTTAGAAACACTGTTATCAAGGGGCAAAGGGCCGTCAATTGCTTTGACGGCGTTGGCGAATGCAGTTTTGGGAAGCAGAAATATTATAAAAATGGAAAGGAGAAAAATAAGCAGAGAAAATTATCACATCCGAGTGCCTATGACCTAAACCGTACACGTTTAAATTAGTTGTTCAGTATTCAAAGGAAATCGTTAAATCACAAGTGATAATAGTGAAATTGTATATTTGTGAACTTAACGAATGTATAATCTATGAACTAAATATAAGTCGTTAAAACTCTTACGATGAATAGAAACGACGTCTGGCAAAGGACACGGAACACTAGAGATATACTGTCTTCTAAGTCCAAACAAGCCATGGCTGGAGAAACTCAATAGGTCTCTATCAAACAGGATTAACAAGAGAGCCATAAAATAAAGGCACATAACAGCAAAGTGCTAATACGAATAAAACTCACCACAGAATGGACAAGACCGCATTCAGACTTTGCGACCGGATCGCTCGAGCGATTGAATCGAGCGATCCAAGCGAGCGACCTGAAAGCGCGATCCAATTGCGTGATTCAATCGAGCGATCCGATCGCGAATTTTGAAGGCGGTCTAATTGTACCCCTATGCAACCTATAAGAATACCGTGAAGGAAATTTGCAACTGTGTTCAAACCAGCTAGAAGGCCGGATACTCGAGAAAGAGACTCCGTTGGGAAATGTGTACTGCGTGATATAAAATTCTGGAGCCAGCGGTGATTGCTCGCGCACGAAACGATGGAACGCTTCGATAATAGCGTAAAAATATGCTCAGCTTAGAACAAGCTTCTTATTTAGTTTATTTACTCGTCCGGGGACATGTGAATTGGTTTCACAGGAGCGCTGCTCACTACGAAGAGCCAACGATCGTTCCGACGTCGAGAAATGACTATTTACGTGTCAGACACTTGATTAACTAGACTACACTGGGTACTAGTGCAAGACCCGTCCCAACACCTTGCCCACTTTTCAGAGCGATCTTGGGTCCTTGAGGCCTCGTTTGTGAAGGTCACATGGCTTTATTGGGGAGACGGAGTGGTCTCGTTGTAGTTGCGGCCAAATACAATATAGTAGAGACGGGGTGGTCTCTAGGTAGTCCGAGACGGGGTGGTCTCGGTGGTGGACGTGGTAGAATGCTGACTTAATCTAGGCGTGCCTCTCAGTACAGGAGAGGTCACGCATCGAGCATCTAACCATTTACCTACGGGTCATAATCACGTCTCATGTTTGCCTAGGGCTTATACCCCCTAAAAATCACATCAGTAACGTCATTAAAAAGGTGCCCGGCCAGGTTCTGTGCAATTGAAGAAGATCGTTTTATAGAACTGCTCACTTTTTGTGATGTTTTTGCACTTTAGGCTATTTTTGACGTCAATACACTCCTAGCTGAACTGATATCCCGAACACATAAGCTGCAACTTGTTAAAGTTGGCAGTCGGATGGTGGGGGTGCGGTTGCTGGCCAACTCATAGGTGTAAAGCTGCGACAGCGTTAAGTTCACATACCACTGAGCCATTCCACAAAAAAGCTTGACTTAAGAGCCGCCCGCTCGTCATCCGCTAATGAAACGACTGATATATCCGAAACGAAATAACGGCTGTGCGCCACTTTTAAAGGGCCGCCTACTTTTGAAACGTTGTAACTTTTGAAATGCTTACAAATTTTCAACGCGTCCTTTTCACTGTCGTTTTTTCAGCAAATCTCTCTCTCTCATCTCGCATGGAGCTAACACCGCCACTAGGGAGTCTTATTCTCACGGACCAGCACCCACCAGTAGCTCCGCCCACTTCACAGAAGCCCTGCCCACCGCGAAACGAACATTGATCACGAACACCGCTGGCAACTCTCATCCCCAGCAGTGGAAAGCTAGTTTGGAGGAAACTGCACGGATTAGTTATCCGAAAATCGCGGGATGTGTCTCCAATAAGTAGATGAATTGTCATTCGAACTGACAACAGCCTTCACTCCTCGGCATCGACTCCACAAGGCTTCTAACAGTGTTCAGGAGCACTCGGTTCTAATCTTCCTGCTGTGATAAGCTTCCTAGTGACTCATTTCGATTTACCGAATCGAAGGTCAATCAAAGTCGAAAGGATTAGAATCCGAATGTTTGATTGGCTACTTCTTCGCCCAGACCTAGAGTTCTCACAAAGAACCCTGATCAGTGGGTCGTAAATTATACGGGAGTTTGTTTGACTCACCATGGAATCCAGTTGGTGATCGTTTCGGATAAGCAGTCATCTTCGAAACGCGTAACGTGCCCGGCTCTCCTGATCTTCGAAACCTTGGCTAATGGTGGTGTGTCCTCGTCGATGCACGAGCCAGTGTTCTTACCCTCCCCCCCCCCCCCAAACAAATCTGATACCTACTTACCATTCAAGGAGGGAGGATACAAAGCTTGGTTGACCAGGGCGGGAACCAGTCCGGGATTCACCCTCGGACCGAGCGTGTGGTAGGCGTGTCACTTGCCTCTATACCGCCTCTTTCTCAAGCGCTACCTCTAAAATTCCAAAACCACAAAACGAGGAATCAGCATAATAATGTCCCCTGGTAAAAAGCACAAGCAATAATTCGTAAGAAACCCTTGACCATCTTCAAAAACCGATTACCTCAGTATTGCTTCAAAGATCCATGTAGACTATTAGATCTGTTTTATGTTGCACTTGTATTCCTTTCGTCACAGCATCATGCATCCTAGAAAACTGGTTAAGCCCTTTACAGAGACAGTAGTACGAAAAATCTCACTGTGTGGTCCAGCGCCGTATTTCTTCCAACGATTCATGCGACGGTGCGGGCCTGGTGAGCCAGTCAACAGCTCTATTACCACAATCTTCCAAAAGACGTTTTGCTGGCCTACCTGAAAGAGCTAAGGCCGCAATACAGAAGGTGGAATATCGACGACAATGAGGAGGAAAACCAACTTGGACTGCGGGGTGCTCCACCTACACCGCGGCTCACGTTTTGGTCGTTCGTACGAATAGCTTCTTCGTACATTTGAGCGCGAGCCAAGTATTCAGATGTGTTCAGCGTCATTCCGTCAAGATGAGATACATCGATTATATTCTGAAAGAATACGGCAGTAATGATGAGTGAATGGATTTGCCGCGGCGCTAGCCCTTTCCCTTGCTTTTGCCTTTGGTAAATGACGAGACTGTAACACATCGCTCGGGCGCTGTTTGTCGACGGGGGGGGCATTTTGTACTATCATTGCTTCCCTAGTTCCGGTTTACAAATCTCACTCTGGTAAAACTTGTGAACGCTTGTGAAGCTGGATCGTCTAGCCACCATCCTAAAACGTGTCAACTCGAGAAACGGCTACCTAGATGGGTCGAAACATCTATGGAAAGCAAAATGCCCCCCTGTCGACAAACCACGCCCATCGCTCGTATCAGTAGTTTTCCACCATTAGTTGCCGCTTATCCGCTTGAAGGACTGGTGAAAAAAAGGGCTGGCAGTGCGCCAAACCCAGCCTCGCCTACACGCCCCATCTTCCGCAGCAAGCAAGCCTGTCCCTTTTATTGTCCCACTCTTCAAAATTTAGGCTTTAGTTCAACATAAATTCTTTCCTGAGACAGATTTGTGGTAGATATTCTTGGTCTCGTTGTAGAAATCTGAATATTAGGAAAATCTTACGTGCTGGGTGTCTTCAACTATTCGATTCAGGGCCTCTTCCTCTTGTTCTTCTATACTTTCGACTGTTTTACGGGAACCATTCCAACCAACGTTGTCCACCTCATCGACTCCACGACTGAAATCAGTGGAATTAGAGCCATGCTTGTTCACTTCTCCGAAGTAACAACTTCTCATGTAAAGCAGCCAAATAAACAAAGCGTTCAAAGGGAAAATTTGCAAAAAAATGACCTAAAGGCATACACAGCCAGTAGACCTGATAGGGGCAGATCACCTTCACAAAACCTCTCCGTCTCATGATACCATAGAATAGCAGAAAGGAAGTGGAGCAATCGGGAGAGCTGGTCTTACAGCAAGGACTTTTGCGTTTTCTAGAGAAGGACAGTGAGTAAGAATTCAAAAGCCACCAAAGTTATTGGCGCTAACCTAGTTAGGAGGGGGATGAGGAGGACACTCAGAAGTGCTTTTGGGTTTTTTTTGCGAGTTTGCGCTTTCCTGGGCCTAGCGGAGACTATCCCTTGGAGACTCTAGTTGTCTGCAATGAAAGCCTATCGCTTGCTTATGGAGGTCTACCGAAAACTTGAACTCTATTCCGTCATTGGGGTCAAGGTTATGCTTTTCTCTGTACCCTCGTCGTTCTATGACCACTGCAGGGCACATCGTTGTCGGGGAATCCCCAATAGGGGGGGTCGTATTTGGGCTGGGAAAAATTTATTTTGATAGTTGATTTTTCTCGCTTCACGGACGTTGTAAAAGGGGGGTCGTTGTTGGGAGGAGGGGGTGGGGGTCATGTTTTTTTGTGATTTTCCCCGACCTCCACGCTCGACAGCAGAAATCTTGGGGATAAAGTAGGGAAGTTTTGGGGAAACTTTGGAAAAAGGCAGGAAGTTGGGAAAAATCTGAAAATTGGTAGAAAGGGGGGGGGTGGTGGTAGTGGTATTGTCTTGCATTTTCCTGTTTTCACACGTGTTACTGCTATTATCACCCCCCCCCCCCTCCCCGCTCGACAACTTGATTCGATGAGGAGGGACAGATGGCCGGAGGGGGGGGGGGTTCAGACTTCGCTAAAATCCCCGCACTGATCAGCACACTCTGCGTTCGCGCCCACCGTCCTGGGGTGAGGGGCTTGCGAATCCCTAGGTAGCGGCGAAATGCGAAAAGTCTCCTATCTCGACATCCCCTGCTTTAGCAGGAAAAACCCATTCCTCTCTCCCCGTGTTCTCTGTACCTTTGATGCTCTAGCAGCAGCTGTCCCCTATCTGTTTATCTCCAGGGTTTGGCAGCGTTCAGTCTTCGCGACGGCAGCGCTTCGGTCGCAAAGTCTGAACGCTGCCTCTCACAATATGAAAAAGCAGGATAAATCAAGTGGTCTCGCAACCGCTTAGGGCAGTGAGGGAGGAGGACGGAGCACACACTCCCCTACTACGTTGGCGGCTATTACTTATCTGCTGTTTTACTTCCTTTCTTCGGGTGATTCTTATTCTTGAGGATTCAATGCTGTAGTCTTTTCACGATCACACTCACGATCTTTTATACATTTGAGAGAGAGGAAAGGAAGGGTTCAGAACAGTGCGGGTTGGGCGGCGCCGTGGTGAGTGGGCGGGGCGTGGTTTCGTCTTGAGCAGCTCGCGCTTCCCTCACGTATTTTGAGCTGCGAAAGCAGGACTACCATGTCCAAAGAAGCACTGGAACAACAAATGGTCTCGGAGAGTACATTCGCGAGCGTGGCGAGGGAATCACAGTGGGGAAGCCCCACCTCTGCTCGATAACAGAACAGAGCTCATTCTATCAGCAGACTACAGCTCGATCCCTTCTTTATATTTGAAAGTAGAAAGGTATTCCAAGCGAGTAGTAGAGCCGTAACTCCACAAATTTACTATTAGCTAACCAGTAAAAAGGATAACTAAAGTCCAACAAATACAAACATACCCATTAAGACGACCATCGTCCCGTCTAACTGGTGTCACGTTAGAATCGTTATACAAACGTTCGTATGGCAAACCATCGTTGTCCTCACCACCACAACAACAGATAGTTTTCATGAGGTCCATGCACGAAACCGGAAAAGAAAAACAAAACTTCCATAGTACAGTGAAAGTACATAGTCCTCAGACCTAGAATAATCTATAAAAACAGATGGAGAGAAGAAATAAAAGAAAAATATGTCATGACCAAGATAAAGACCAGCTCGACGTCAATTAGACGGCGGTATCCGTATTCCACAGACCTTGCGACGTGCTACGACTGGCCGCCGACTTTTTTTGTGCTTCTGCAATTTTCTGAAATGAAAATATTTTAGTTGAATTTATCTTTGTAGTGTGTGATTAAGTTTTTATGTGTCTAATTAGAGCCGTCTTTTAGGCTTGACACTGTTCCTTACCAGTTCCTTCCCCTCAGTTCCACGCGCTTGTGCTTCAAGTGATGAGGCGATAACAGTTCAGCTTAGAAAGAGAGGGTATTTTTAAAACTGTGTGAACATAACTCTTGTGAGGCTACGGAACTCAAGAATGTCTCGAGTCATTTTCGAACAAACTAAATAGTTTAGCCACCCAAAGCTCTTCCTTCAGGAAGTGGGCGGGAATCCAAAGAGTCACAGTCATTTCGTTGCGCTCTTGAGTGGATGCCATTTGACATAAGAGGAATATCCGATTTTATATGGCATGGGAATGGAGCCCGTACCATTTGTAGCTTCACAAGACCTATTTCCCCACAGTAATCAGCTGATTGCCACTTCCTCCTCTCTGAGCCGAACTGCATTGAATTTCAAACTAGCAGAAGTGTTGCCCTGCTGATCGTCGATTCCGTAATCGCAGTCTATTTTTATAATTTTTAATTTCGAGGTGTTCCACAATTGCAACCTCGACCACCATCTACGGCCACTGCAGTGAGGGCAAGTCGGGACTCCGGTCGTAGCGTCTCTAAGGTAAGTCAGCCTTCCTTAACCATTTCATTATATTCCAAAACAGATCATTTTCAGATGCGGGTACGTGATGACGATTGCTACCTGAAAGTGTTAGCTTTATTCGCAAAATGTACGGAATGCAAATGCAGCGGCTTTCGCCGATACTGAAAGATGATCATGGCGTTGAAGATGGCGGATTGTTCCTGGTCAGTCTTTACCTTTATCGTGCAGTCACAGTTATTGGCGCCATTTCACCGTTTTGTCGACACTATGGCACTTAGTGGTCTGCGATCTTGAAAGCTCTTGGAGCTCGTTCATACTTCGCGATCCATTCGCGCGATTGGATCGGAGTGCGTGACTGGAAGTATGAACGCGCTTTCATGAACGCGTTTCTGCCCTTCTTCTGTCTGGGCTTTAGAAGCCATCACCGCGCCTGCAGCTGCATACTTGGAAACGCCACTTTCTGCCCTCGAGTAGAGGCTGCATATCTCCCCTCTGGCCGAAGCCCAGGTTTATTGAAGCTCTGTAGACCAGAAACAGCACTCCGTGCCAAAACGGCACTCCCTAACTTCGCAGAGCAGGCATGGTCGCGCCGCTGTGTGCCTTGCTACGTTAGTACAGGAAATCTTTCACTTTAGATGATTGTGAGCTGCAAATTTTTATTGAGGTCCAGTGTTCAGGTTGATTACAAACACATCAAAAGCGTTGACAACGACGCACTTTGCCGAGGCTGTAATCATGGGATCGGTTAGTATTTTTTCCTCCTACATGTGCGTTTTACTACTAATTTTCATAATTTTAGAATCACACGCAGCTCACTCTGTAAAGCCCAGTAAAGCAGAGCAGGAGAAACTCATACAGTTAGCAAACGACACTAATGGTTTGCATGATCGCATGGCAACTACTGAAGATACTGATGAGCTACATGTAAGTTGCTATTGTAGAGACACCGAAACGGGCGCAGGGTATATGTACCTTATTTTGTGGGGAGTAAGGAGCACATTCGCCTTGAACGGGCCGCGCCGAGACTTTGCACCTTGCTTCTCGCTTTTTCGCTGACTGTATTTTCGGATGTTCTTATCTATGTTCTTATCACACGCATGATCCGGGAGTCAAAGTCCCGATCGGCTCCCATCTAGGTAAAACAAGCCTTCAACCTTCGTGACGGTAAATTGGTACCAGATTCGTCTGAGAGGATGAAAACGTTGACCTGTACAAGCTGGCCCCAGCAAGTCACTGGATAGACTACATCGCATTCATCAAGGCACTACGATGAAAGTTCGGTTCCTAGTGGAACCGGAATGTGTGCCGCATTCTAAAAATGGGTTGATTAACGGCGAATAATTTATCCATCCTTATCCTCATCTAGGTGAACAAGTGATTAATCTATATGAAAATTAATGTCTTTAATAACCAGGGAGAGGTTTAGAATACGTGGAAAAGATAAGGTAACGGCGCTTCATGGACAAAAGTCTCGGCGACGGGTGGGCCTTGAAAACGCTCTTCAGGCTCTCGCCGGACGCTTACCAGACATAGGCGGTTGCGGATCGCAATCCAACGGCGGTTACCATATCGAAGAAGCCGCGCGTGCTGTTTTTGGAACATTTTAGCGTGCGTCTCTGCGACTTTCCAAGCAAATGCGTCCCAATGATAAGATAAAGTCTTTGCCGTCAAGCAGTCTCCTTTCTGGGATGCGGCCCGCTTCTACTTCCATTCAGAATCGTAGTGGCTTATTGAATGCGATGTGGCCTATACAATGACTTGCGGGGGCCAGCCGATGTACAAGTCAGTGTTCTTATCCTTTCCAGACGAATCTGGTACCAATTTGCCGTGTCGGAGGATAAAAGGCTTGGTTGGCCTGGGTGGGAGCCAATCCGAATCTCACCCCGGACCGCGTGCATGGTGAGCGTGCTACTTGCCACTACACCACCTCTGTCCCGAAACGCGCCTTGTATCCCCAAAACAGGTGCATTAGGCAGTTGGTAAAACTCTTGAATGGGCTGTGAATACCTCTTTCTATACTCTCGCTGTAAAGTGTAGGCCTTCTTTCAGATCGTCTACCAAGTCTTCCAGTTGTGTCTGAGTGCCCTGAAGAAATGGAGTACTGTGGTCGATGTTCCGTTCGGTTCCCCTAAATTTGAGGCAATGTCAATATACAACATAATAACAGCCTTCGTCGCCTTCTATGGAGAGTCCACAGAGTGAGCACAGATTTTCCATTCTTTTAACCCTCAGACCGCTTCGATTGGGACGCGGGAGAATAGGTAAACAGAAGAATGGGCGAAAGGTCGCCATGTTAGAGCATAAGTACCGTATGACGACTGGAAGAGTGGCGGAAGCGGAAAAGGCGCTAATCGGTAGAAGGTGCGTTTAGGGCAGTACACGGAAGTCAATCAACTGTTTCCCCAGTACACCAGTATCCGGAGTTATCTTTGCCCCACATTTTGCCGATTCGCTTTTTCTCCAGTCTTCCAGTTCTCCCTTTCTCCCGATTCACCAGATACTCAAATATCCCTTGTCGCATGTTTTCCTATTCCTCTCTTCTTTCCTTCTCTTCTATCACCAAGTACGTAAGCGCTCTTAAATATTTCATGATGTTCCTGGGAGAAGGGGGGGGGGGTAGGGGAGTCCTCAGTTTTGGATCAATGCTATGGTATCCTGCTATATAGGGGAGGGAAGTAGATAAATCCAAGGCGGCTGAACCGATTATAATTCACAACGAGTTGGAATGTGCCTGGTGACCAACCCATGGAGCTACAGCCGGCGTTTTTCAAAAGAAGCTATGCCGGGTTCAAGCTATCTGTCAACCTCAAAGCCTCCCTCCTCTCCTTTTTTCGTCCTCCTTCCTTCTTATTCCTCCTTCCTTTTCTCTTCCCTTTTCATCTTCCTTCAACACTGGTCCAATAGACACGGTGAGAAAATACCTCTGGACCCTCGCAACGAGGGAATATCCGGTTGATAGAAGCCTGTTCCTTCCTCAATAATCGCGGGCTACTATAAGGTTGTCCAAAAGCTGCAGATCCAAACCCTGCCCCCCCCCCCCAGCAGCGGCACCTAGCGCCGATACTTTTAGGGTGGTAATTTTATCATCATTTTCAGAAATATTCAAAATAATCTCGATTGTGCATCTAAGCTGTTGACGATTATAAATACATGGAAGATTCCTAGTCCTATGGTTTATCTCGCTGCTGGTATGTTCACGTATTTGTCTTTTGTCCTTTTTTACATCCGCCTTTTGCGAAGAAAAATTTAGTTCCGAAAGCTGATCGTGTCCAATATCGTTTGTTCTACACAAGATGGATGTATTATGTTATTCTGCCACAGCAGTACAAATCACTAAAGCAGTATGAAGCTGTGGAGATTTTTGGTCACAGAGGTCTACAATTTTTCCTCAACTTTGCTTTCAGTGATCAAGGAGGAGATATTCAGGTGGGTCAGTAGAGGGTATGGGACAAGACATTCGTGATTCGCTGCGCTTTTGTGCGTCGCGCCTGCCAATATCAATGTTTCTAGATCGCAGATAACGACAGTAGACGGTGTGTCGCCAAAAATAGCCAGCCTATCGTCGCGCGCAACGAAGCGACTGATTACGAATGTCTTGGCCGTCCATGTATTTCTTTTGTTTCTGCGCCTGCGTTTTCATAGTTTTTGTTTTAGTCTGTACCCGATCTACGCCAGTTCCTCAGCTCGTTGCTGAGTTTTATGGAGATGTCAACAAAGACACCCATAAAATTGAAAATGGCTCTTCCTGAGGGCGTGGACCTTCCAAAGTATTGACTTTTGTTGTGGCTCTTTCAAAATGAGTCTCACAGTACGACTTGTTTGACAGCTCTAATTTTTAAACTTCAGATTTTGTCGTCTTAGTGAAAAAGATACTTCTATTGAAATCAGTCACCCGGCATCACGTGAGGAAGAGGGAGAACACAGGAAACGAGCTAAGGTTTGTAGAATCTTTACTGTATTCTTGTTGCTTGCAAGTCGTACGAGAATATCATTGCAATCTGCTAAGCTGAGTTTCAAAGGCGGCAGTCTCTTCCTTTTTTCTGTGAATGCTGGGAAAGGCAGCACTCGCGTGACCCATGTGGCTGCGACGCGTGCTTTCTGGCACGAATGCCGCGCTCGTGGTACCAGCCTACACTTTGGTATCCTTCAACAGGTCTACGGACAACTTGAACTCAATCCCTTTGAACGCGTCGATCTTCTCTTTTTCTCTGCACTCTCTCGTCCGCATGGCACTCTATGGCCGTTGTGACTTCGCTTTTCACCGGTTCACCGACTACCCTGGAGTCCCCTACGTCTTTAAATCTCGTTTTTGCTCGCCATACGTTTTTGCAACGTTTCCGATGCTTTGGCAGCCGCTGCCTCTATCCGCCCTACGTCACAGGGCTTTCGTAACAGGAAAGCATGAGGACCATTAGCCGGTTCGAAACCCATCCGATGTTTCGTGACAGGGAGGAAGAAAAATGAACTTGCAATGAGCCAAGTATCAGTTCAGCAGTTTTGTTATTGAAATGACAAGGCTGAGGTGTTGTCAATCAACTACTTGAGAAACGGCACTCGGCCGCGACGGAGATGTCTTTGATCAGACCCTGCTTGATGGAGCTTCCATCTAACATCTTTGCTAACCATAGAGATTTGTGCTACCACCAGAGGTCATTAACGCGAGGCCACTCCATAATCCAAGCTTTCGCGATTTTAAATTAGTTTAGTATAAGTAGAGAGATACCAGGAAGTTTTTTACTTGGCGCTATTCGGCTTGGAAGGAGCATGATTCTACTTCCCTTTTCCATTCTACTGATTCATGTTAACTGGCGAGTAAACCATTGTAAAGGTGCGAAATTGCTCAAGGGAGCCGCTTTGGTCACAAGAATCTGCAAAACTTGTGGCCTGTACAGGCTTCGCTGAATACCATTTGCTGCCTCACCAAGTAGAGGCACAAATGAGTATTTTTACCCGTGGTGTGCAGTTGATTTCGCTGACTGTTCACGGCGTACAGTACATTTACTTCCAGTCTGAATCTGGTGTGTCGACCGATCTGTTCTTGAAGGCCATAGTGAAGACGGTTAATGATGTAAGTATCCTTATAAGTCGTTCTCAGCTTACTGCCATCTCACCTTTACAAATGTTTAGGCTCGAAACGAACCCGACATAGACCAATCAGACGCAATAAATCTAGATGTCTGTAGAGGAGAGGCTGCACGAATCGAAGAGAAGAATGGAATTATCGAGTGAGTTTCCTTTTTTGTTGGAGTTACTGAAGCTATTGATTACCTTTTCGTTTTTAGATTCAAGGTTATCGGAAATTCGCTGGAACCTTTCCAAGACCGAGAAACTACGGTGTCATTGTTACAACTGCAAAGCTTATTTTCTGTTCAGCTACCAAAAATGCCAAAGGAATACATAACCCGATTAGTTTTCGATGACAGGCATAGGAGTATGGTACTGCTGAAGAAGGGCGAGTCATTCTTAGGTTCCGGTATTCATTCCATTTCTCATATGAATCCTTTTTCAGGTAAGGGAGTGATCGGTGGGATATGTTTTCGTCCATTCTCTACACAAGGCTTCATTGAAATAGTGTTCTGCGCAATCACGGCAAATGAACAGGTCAGCTCGAATTCGCTCAATCTTCCGTGATTTTCACGCTTTACTGCCCCATTTTTTTCACCCTTTACTGCCCCACTTCTTGAGAAAATTTGGTTCAGTGTTTCTCCGGGGTAAGGGTCGGAGATGGGGGATGCACCTCGACCACCTGAAACGAGTGTCGCGTCTGTTTTGGGGGGGGAGGGGACGCGCCGCACCCGGGTCTCAGGTGTCGCCACCGGAAGTACACTCATTATTCCGGAGATGGATTGGGCGTGGCTGCGCACTCCATTTGAAGGTGATGACAGCTTTTGACTCTGTGCGGATATCATTGCCAGCTATTGGGGGTCAAATTATGAAAGAAGGCTAAAATTCGACTTCTACTGTTTGGGAACAATCTTAGTCACGAATACGCCTAACTTTCAAAGCGTGGACCAGCGAAGGGTCACGGGAGTTGTTGTTTGTTTTTTTCTCCTAGTTGCATGATCAGTTCTGCTACTCCGCTGAAACTAGCGGCTTGGACTCGTTTAGGTAAAAGGTTACGGTACGCACTTAATGAATCATCTGAAGGACTATCAAGTGAAATGTGGAAACTACCATTTGCTGACTTTTGCTGACGAGTTTGCTATTGGATATTTCAGAGTTGGATAGTATTTTTGAGCTTCTTAA